CCTGCGCAGGCGCGCCCTGTAGCTCCGCCCCCTCTAGAGCGAGCGCTTGGCTTAAAGCCGCCGCTCGTTAGTTGATCGGAGTCTCACTATTGATGTAGCAGGACGCTGATCAACTCAGCGCTCCCTTCGCTCCTCCGGGACCTGGACTCTCAAGTCGCTACCTGACTGGAACGCAAGTACCCTGGGCTATAGCTAACAATAGCACCAGATATCAAAGTGTCATTTCCATATCCACTGCTGTAAATACTCTTAATTGCTGGCTTAACATCCACTGCTGTGAATGCTCATCATTTCTGGTTATAATATCCACTGCTGTGAATACTCTTAATTGCTGGCTTAACATCCACTGCTGCGAATGCTCATAATTGCTGGTTATACTATCCACTGCTGTGAATGCTCATAATTGCTAGTATACTATCTACTGCTGTGAATACTCATCATTGCTGGTTGTATTATCTCTGCTGCGCATACTCTTCATTGATGGCTTAATCTCCACTGCTGTGCAAACTCCTCATTACTGGTTAAACAAACACTGCTGTGCATACTCACCATCGCTGGTCATTAACCCCTGCTGAGTTAAATGCCCCCAGTGCACGGACTCATTCGCTTACTTCAGCTTGAACCACACTCTGTGGTAACCAAGCCTTCACACCCTAGCGGGGAATGATGTGAGGCAGCTCCCTCTCAGCCTCTCCTAAAAACGGGCCAAGCGAGGTGCAGCTGCCACTCTGATACCCGTACCCTCAACACCACAGTTGAGATCCATATAGCATTAGCTAACCCGGAACGAACATTACAAGCACTGACCACAGGAGAAGCTGGGTTCAGGTAAGTAAATGCTTTACTCTAGTCTCATAGACAATCGCAAGCAGTAAATCCTTACAATGTGGGAGTAACCCTACTGCAAGGGCACTTTTTTGTTTGCCCGGAGATGGGCTTTAACAATAGTTATTGCATATCCCTGAACGGTCTCTCTTTTGCAGGGACAGTCTATTTGAAATCAAATGCCCTTACAGCTATTTCATCCTCACTTATCCCTGTTTTTGGTCTGATGACCTTTATTCACAAATACACAATTTAACAAACAAAAGTTTTGTATCTCACTACAACTTTCAACAAACCTCCAAATTATTGAATTAGCTATTTTCATGATCTATGCAAATAGGAGTGTGGCAGGGGGTATATCCTTTAATTATATTAGTTTTGCTTAAAACTGACCATCTTTTCCATCTCGTTGGGAGTATGCCTATCTTTTTGATAACAGTTAATTAATACATAATTGTATATGACATGTACATTCTTACATACAGCTTATGCTCCATTGTCCTTTTCATTGAATACATTTGAAAATTAATATTTGTCTAAGTAAAGGTGCTTTATAGGAACTGATTTTAATGATGTTTTTTGTTCTTCATCCACTCTCATAGTGACTGAGTAGAAATTACATTTCAGAGTGACATTCCATTGTCTTTGTCAGTTACAGAAGGTCCAGGTACACTGGGGTGATTTACTAAAGGTGTCGTGCATATTCACTTTGCAAATTAATCTTTACTTAGGGGTCTATTCACAAAGCTGCCGAAGGATCTAGCCGTAGCTTCGACCGATTCTTCGACATGCTAAATTCCAATGGGCAAAAATTACTATTATTTTTTTCTATTCTGACACGGCTCCGTGTCAGAATAAAGAAAAAAAAAAGAAAAAGCAGTGTTTCTCTCCTGGGCGGCCGGGAGTGGGAGGCTCCCAGAGCGCCCGGCAGAGGTTTTTTTTCCGTTTTTTTTTTTTACGGCAGCAGAACCGCCGGACAATAGAAAACTGTTGGGTGGAGCTAGCTGTCACTGCTAGCTCCGCACAATCGTTTTCTATTTACTTTTATTTAACTTTTTTCACTCTTTTTATGTTCTGCTCAGTCCCTCTGAGGGACTGAGCAGAACAGCCGAGCCGAATGCCACTCAGCGGCATTCGGCTATTCACTCACTGCAGTTCGGCATCTATAAGAATATGCCGAACAGCAGTGAGTAGACTGCCGGAGGTTCGGCTCAGCCGATCCAGATGTTGGATCGGCTGAGTCAAACTCCTTCTGCGCTTCGGGTCAGTTCGTATATGAGGTAAAGTCATGCTGACTGCAATCATCCAGTCGTGTACCAGCAAAAATTTAGCTTTTTTAAATATTTTCCTCGCATATAATTGGGTATTCTTTGCAAAACAAATTTTCACTTAACTTAACCTCATTTACTATGCAAAGTGAGAATGAAAGCTAGACATTTAATTCAACAACATTTTTGATGTTTGAAATTTCCAATAAATAATCACACTGTAATTAAAAACACATTTCTGCTCAGCGGAACTGTTTTTCATCAACTAAGCTTTGGAAAAAAAGTCACAATTTACTATGAAACAGCTGTGCAGTAATAGTATCATTTCAGCAATTCTGCCTGTGGTATTTTACAGTCATAAATTTATCCCTTCAGGTTCCTCAAAGCATATCTGCAGTCAGAAAAAAAGTTGTTTACACGAACTCTGGTCGTATAAAATCTTAACCCTTGCAGTGTGGCTATCCCTCTTGTCTAGAAAGCTAAAATAACAAAGATATACTCACATGAACATCAGATCCAGGTTGCTGCTAGATCGTTCCCTGGAGCCTTGCTCCACTCCAGCAATTGAATGTCCCTTAGGGTCCTTGCGTCCAATACACTGTACATTGGGGGTAGCCCCACTGCAAGGGTTAATATTTCATATGTCCAGAGTTCTTCTTTAAGCGCTATCAGTATGGTGCCTGCTTCCCCCCCTTCCCGACCTGGCAAGGCATATTGGTATGCATATACTGACCCAATTTCTGAAGATGAGAGTCGACATATGATATGCCAAAATTGTGGGTGAGTTGCTTCACTGCCCATTTAGAACAAAAGACCGGGCCAGGCTCTGAACCATGACACCTTGTCAACATATGCGTACCAGAAAATGTTGGGCTTAGGAGCTCCTGGGGTGCTTTAGAGATAAAGAAAGTACATGTTCACTTTTACCTGACCCTAACACTTAATCCTCACCCTATGGCTTGTGAATTTGTAGATCGAGATGAACCACTGCAAATCGAGAACAAAACTGCAAATAGCACCTGCACCCTTTTGCGCGACAGGCGATTTCACTTGCGCGCAATTCAAAGGAGTGGACAGCCTCTATTGACTTAAATGAAAATCTGTATTTTGTGTGATATCGCCTTAGGTGTGAACCAGGCCTAGACCTAAAATTGTCTGTGTAGTCCAGCCCATATTTTTTTCCTTAACACTACTTAATCTCGTAAGGGTTAATCTCATGTTACTGAGCACCTATGTTTCCTGAACTAAAAAACAACACTCCTGGGCCAAGAGGGGTGGCTACTTTAGAGCACAAAGTCCATATACCTTGCCGCACTCCTTACCGGATATCCCAGAAATAATGGCTGCTTTTAATGACTGGATGGTGCCGCTCAAAATACAATAACAAATGCAGATGTCATCAGGACTCCAGCATGAAGATTCACGTCAGTGGAAATCTACTTTATTGATAGATGTCATGAAGACAAAGGCTTTCGGGGCAGCACAGGGTCCCCTTCCTCAGGCTCAATAATAATGGCATCTCTCAATAAAGTGGATTTGCACTGATGCGATTCTTCGTGCTGGAGTGCTGATGATATCTGCATTTGTTGCAACACACACAGGGACCATGGGGAACAAAAGTGGCCACCCTCCAAAAGGAAGGACAGTGTTGGCATGAATTCAGAGATGATTTGAGGATCTACAGCTGAACGATACAAAAATAAGATACATTTTTGTTAATAATTAAGGTACCTAAATGTATTTTTAAGCTTTAACTCCTGAGTTTAGTGTCACTTTAATATCTCTAAAAATCTTCTACACAACGAATGCATTTCAGAATGAAGAACTGTTCTCTTTCTCAAATCAATTGCTATCTTCCAATAGCAGATACAATACTGTTATATTGCTTTCAATTTATATTTTATCCCTTTTCTCAGATTATTACAGTGTACCTCGTTTATGCCTCACCACTCATATTCCTTGCTTATAATCTCCCAAATATTTCTAGCAACATTAAATTCACATTTGTAATGCATACTGTTTAGTGCTGTAATGTTTTCTTGAGTATGTTTCTTATATAATAAAAATGTAATGTTTAAAAAAAAGGAATCAATGTTTCCTCTTTAAACCACAAGGGTAGAGGGCATCACCCCTGATGTTATGGCTGTACTCAGATGGTGCTAATTGGGGTTGTTATAAGTATCGCAGAAAGTTTGAAGGTATACTGAGACCGCCACAGCTGGGACGGATCCTGACATTACTGCCGAGATCCACCCAGCTGCGTGAGTGACAGCGGGCTCTGAATATCTAGAGGTAGAGCCAGCTGTACCCGCCCCCTCCCCCGTCCGTTCCTCTACTCAGCGCCGGAGGATCAGAGCAGGGAGGGGGGAATCCCTGCTGAGAGCCGTGACTGACAGTCACTGCTCTCTGCAGGGAGATGATCGAGAAGTGAGGGAGCGACGGCATGTTTTTGTTTACTTCCTGATCTATTGAGCCGACGTGTGGCAGTTTCATTGTCGCACATTGGATCGAACTATGTGGATGAGGGATTTTCACTCACCTCATAGTTCTCCATTAAGTACCCATTATCAGCTAAGTTATTAAAGATGCAAGCTTTCGGGATACCTTACATTTTGGTTTCATACAATTTTGAAAAATGGTTCTGAAATCCACATATCTATTCACAGAGTTGTAAGTATATTGTAATTAAGCAACAGAAAACCTCAAACAATGTTTTCTTCATTGTGTATTTAAACAAAAAATAGGTATTTTAATTGTATTTCAATATAGTTTTCAAACCTGCATGGCCATTGATGTAGCTGGAAATATAAAACCGATGATAACATTTGTAGAACATTAATAGAAGTAATTTCATATGCGTCGATGAGAAAACCCCGCATACGAGTCAATTCTCTTTTGTTTTGCTAGGTTCTGAAGCTAGCACTATTGAAATCCACATATCCAGTGAACTTCCACACTTAGATGACATAGAGGCTGATGATGAATCAACAGAAAACCTCGAAAAACAAAAGCTGGTCAAGTGATCATCAAACTGGGCACTTCACAGGCTGCAGATGAAAAATGTTATGCCTAATGCACAAAATATATCCTATGTGAGCTTCCAACCAACAAGATATTGGAGCCATGCAAATGTCTAAAGGCTTATCTGTTTCTCAGTTCAATTTTAATTAAAGGAACATATAAAGTCAGATAATGGTCATATATTTGAGATGCTGATATGTTTAAATTGTGTTATATATAAGCCTATAAAAATATAAACCAGGACCCTATGACATATAGCAGACTTGTGAGCATAACTGCTTCTTCCAGCTAATAAACACATCATGATGTTTATAGTAGTTGGTGAGTTAATCCCCCTTATATGATATTAGCAAAAGTGCCCATTCATTGAATAGGTAGAATTCAAAAGACTTACAGGGTTCATCACAAAAGGGTGAAGAGTTTGGAGAAGGCAGGAGAAGTGATCAATCTACAACAGCATAGCTGTTTTGGAAAAATTATCCAATTCAGCTGACTTTGCAGTTCAGCTATGTTGTCCTAGATTGTTCACTTTTCCTGCCTCCTCCAACCTCTTCACCCTTTTGTGAATAGCCCTGTTTGTGGTATTAATAACACCTATTTCTAATACTGTTACAATTAGTGGTATAGCTTGCATAACGTACAGCACATTCAGCGGGGAGCAGTGTGAAGTATGCATTTGACTGCACGGCTTACAGAATGTGGCAGGTTGGAGTATGCAACATCTAGCATAGTAATGGAGTGGGCCATCATGGAGTATGTCACATACAACACAGTGTGCAGAGTGGGAATCCTTTGAATAATGTAACATACAACACAGGTTGAATGGGCACACTTCCGTTATTAATAATAGTAAACACTGAACTCTCCATTTGCTGCACACATAACACTAAGCTCTGTCATGTGACAAAGTGTAGGTAGGTATTTCTCTCACTCTCACTTCTTTGTTTTTTTTTACTTAATATATCTATGGGAGTATGACATTGTCCATTCCTTTTTTCTTACAATTGGTCTAGCATCAAGGGCAGAAAAAAAGATGTGTACTTGCATTACTAGCAGACGCCAATGATAGTTTTTCTCATATAATATGTTGCACTAGAATATTGACAGTTGGGATCTGAGTGGTCATTATGGGCAACATGGAGACTTTTCTTGTTGCCACTTTTTATGAATGATGTCCAATAATTGTGCAATGTTGTTTTTATATAAACCACTTGAGAGGCCAAATTTTGAATGCAGAGAACAGTTTTTGGGCACTACACTATAAAAAGGTCAACCTTATTAATAAAAGAGATGAAAGATCTTACAGTGTGCTTAGAAAAATACGTTTTTTTTTGGTATGGATGAAATGGTTATTTATAGGTGGTACAATAAATACACAGGAGTATATTCAAGACCAATATTAAGACTTGTCAAATTAACCTTTTATCCCATGGACAGTACAAAACATCCATCCCATAAGCTTGGAGGTTGGTTTCAAAGTTGTACGTTGAACTGCAGTATTTTAGATGTATTCCAGCTGCGCTGCAGGTAATTCATGGCTACCCAGATAGCAAGGATAACTTGCCACAAACTTGTGGCAGGGTTAAATTGTAATTCTTGTTAACTTTCTGCACACATTCCTGGCAAGTTGTAGACTTGCAGAACACTTGCAGCACAAGTTCTAGTTGACTTTGAATTTGTAGCAAATTTGCTTGGCAAGTCTACAGCAAGAGTCCTGCAGGTCTTAGCAAGAGCAAGTGTACAGCACTTTTACAAAGAACGTTGATCTGGAGACTTGCAATGCAGACTTGCTTTAATTGTGCAACAAAATTGTGAAGCTTGGCAAGTCTGCAATACTTTATCATATAGTAATTTTCAAACTTGCAGCTAAATTGCTAGCTATCTGGGTACTTGCTACATTAATACTCCCCTCCTCCCTAAAACAAGAACATGCAATCATATTTTATTAAACATGACAATATATACATTTATGTCAAGGGATTTAGTTCTACTTTAATCAACCCTAGCTATTCTAATATTACACCTATAAGTAAAGTTTTTTCACCCAAAGAACTGCCTGCCATCTTTCTCAATCTCTGCAGACTCTACTGTTTTTAGTGGGGAATAGAATGGTGCACAGAAATTGTTTACTGGTTTTTGCATTGGAATGGTTTCTATCAATTTCCATAAGAATTTTGATCGTTTGGTTCCTGGAAATTAGGAAACAATTGAAATCATGGATGGCAGAATGCAATTGCATATACAATTTCACATGAGTTATTTGTGCTTGACAACTGATGGCATCCAAATTTACCATATGTATTGCCAACACAACAGCCAACAGTCAAACTGAAGGTTATTTGAGACAATATGACAGAGCCTCTTTAAAGGTTACCCTTTACCCACTTATACTCCCTTTCACGTCACATAGATGAATGAGCATGTCATGATGAGTGCTTGGGCTAAGCATTAAATGTACTGAACACTCACATGACAGAGGGGGTAACATCACCAGTCATATAATCTAAAATCCAAAAAAATTCCTTCCACCTCATAATAAGCACCACTTTTGCTTGGCACTGCTCCAAACCAGTCCTATCTCCACAAACTTCTCAATACATAACTTTGTACATATGTTCTATGGTTACGGGTTATGTTGCATCAATCTTTGTGCTTTAAATGTGTTACTCTGATGCTAATATTTATTCTGTATAGTAAATTTAGTCAAACCTGCTATCAGAGCAAGCACATGCAGAATCTGAAGGAAGCTGCCTTCTTCCCTTGTGGTTCTGGCTTATGTCATCAGGTGGTACATATCCGTTTTAATATAAGGTATGATTAGCTCCCCAGAAGTTAAGTTACTGCTATGTGGGGTGATTGAAGTGACCACAGGTACTAGTGATGTCAAAACAACCAATTAAATGTGTCATAGGAGGACCTGCAGACCCTCCAGAAGCAGGGGTCTAGTTGCAACTTCAAAAGACGAAACCACTAATCTTATGCCACTGCACACAGGTGTTGCATGTAAGTATATTTCTGTAAATAAGGACAGGTGATAGACAGCTCTGTTAGCAACATTTTCCTAGATCCACACAATAAGTTTCTATTTCTGGATTTTATAGCAATTTATTATGTAGATCTCATTTTGCAGCTAGCACTATTTTTTGTCCTTATGAAGGACTTTGTTGAACCACACAATGCAGAGTTCTTTTGCACTGTTCTTGTACATTATTTGGAAGATTTAGCACTACACACACTTTAGTTATTTTGGAACAAAGCACCAATAACACAATTATATCCAATAATCCTGAAATATTTCCTGTATATTTGGACAACAGGTTTATCTTTTTTTCTGTAAGCTAGCCAACTGTTCCATTCTATTCATCTGGTCTATGTTTGTAAAAACGGTATGCCCAGTTCTTAAATCGACCTAACAAAAAACTTTCCATAACCTGGGGAAATATCATGTATTTGTTGTTGTCGCTTGTTTAATATATGTTTACTTTGTATTGCTGGGTATCATTAAACCTTGTACGGTATAGTAATTATAATGCATTTAGCTGTTGAATGTATTTAATCTGCAAAGTCTTCTTTGTCAATACATATACCGTAGTTCACAGAAAGCATAGGCAAGCATATTTCTGGAATGTTTTATCATTGTTGTGTTGGAGTGTATTTTTTATGTAAAACCAGGGCAAAGAACTGGTGAGACTTGATATCTGGCCTGTAAGCCATGTGATTTACCTAGAAAGTGTATTTACAGTCAATACTTTTTTTTGGTTTATCACAGAGTAGTGAACTGGTAGAACAGTACAGTTCAGCTGTCATCATAACAGGAGGTGAGAGGAAATCTTCCAATAGGGACACCTGTTCAAGTGACACGTTGCAAAATTTGTATTCACTTCCTGTTGTGTCTGTATGACAGGAAGTCCAGGGGAAATCTCCCTAATGAGACACAAGCATAAAAAACAGGGGTTCTGATCCTTCTCTACTATTCTATTTCCAAAACAAAACATGTTTTAAAGATATTCTTTAGTGTGGGATCACATTATATGTGTCAAGGTCATTTTTCCCCAGCGCAGCCAAAATGCAAGACAAGGCAATTTGCCTTGTCATGGATGGGCTCAGTTCACACCACAGCATTCCGTTAGTGCGTGCTTAAAAAAGTACGGCATGCAGTACTTTTTTTAAACACACAGCAGTGAGACGCGCTACAACGGCATCACACCATGGTGAGCCCAGATAAATGAATAAAATGATGAAATGTCACATGTGACAATTCAATAAAGTTCTACATTAAAATAAAAGAAAGTGCAATGCAGCTCAATCAAATGCATCGGTACTGTCTGGGGACATACACACCTTCAGCCGTGCAATTGAGCGTGGCTGTTGGTGTGAACAAAGTCTTAATCTCAGGATGAAGTCCTCAGAGCTTCCACATGTGTAGTTCAGCTAATTGGAGCTGTACAAATGTAATATTAGATTAATATCTAATCTTTGTATCAAGCTATTACCGTGAAGTACACTGTAACTAGAAATAGAATTGACAGAGGACTGACTAACAGAGAAACAAAATTAGCAGTAGCCAACACTCTATCTCACTGTTATATTAAGCTTCTGGAGTGCAGCTGGAGTCTCCAATTTGCAAGTCATACTACACTGTTAACTGTACACTATAAAAACAAGATTTAAAAATATGCTGGGAGGATCTCCGTGATGGGATAAATGCCACCATGACTATGGAAACTTAACGGCCCAGTGTCAGATGACTGCAAGTTGGCAGGGAATGAGAAAGGGAAGTAGTACCTAAAACTATATTTATGTTTCCCATCTTCTGTAATCAACTTAAAGGGTTATTAAACTCATGCATGTTTTTGCATATATCTACTTCTGGAAAGCAGTAGATATATGCAAAACGATTAAAAAAATAACTTTTCAAAGGGTTAATACTTACCTGTGCACTCCTGTCTGAACATCTGAAAACTTCTCGGGTGGGCGCATGCGCTGTTCAGGTGTTCGGACAGGAGACAAGAGAGACACAAGGTAAGTATATGGAGCAGTGGGCACCTGCATGCAGACACCGTGGGACATGAGAGAAGAGGAGGACAGAGGAGTCAGCGCTGGATCGGAGACCCAGAACCAGCACTGGAATTCAGCGGAAAAGGACAGTAAAGAAGAAGATGATCGGATTAAGAGACATCATTTAAGGTGTAAGTCCTTACACCAGGATTGGGAAGGGGAAAAAAAAGTTTCACTATAATGCCACTTTAGGAAAAAACATTATTTTTTTTGTGTGTGTATGTTATAAAAATTATGATGAACAGTGCCCAACAATATAATTGGAGGCCCCAGTGAGATGCGGTCATTGAATTAAGGTTTCAAAGTACTTGGCCTCTTTATCTAAGGATCATGGAATCAAGCCCAGGCGCTTGTAATATGTAACACTGACAGTATGTAATAAAGTTTGGGAGCTCCAGTTCACCCATAAAAAAAACCTACCTTATTTATTGTAAATGATATACCGCATTTTGTGTGTGCTTTTAGGCATGAACGTAGAATTAAGAAACAAACTCAAAATCAAAAAAGGTACCAAGTCTTTAATATACCTTGACATTTTAACTTTTTTGTATGACTTAGACAACCCCGACATTTGCATTTTTTCATTTTTAGAATTAAGATTTTTAACATAAAAAATATTTGTTTTTCTTTTTCAAAAATACAGTGGGTTCTTTCTCTTTAAAAGTTCATCTTTCTTCTAGTAAAAAGCTTTACCGGCATCACATTCTTATAAAAAGCATGTTACACCGTGTCATTAAAAGTGCCCTTATAAGCTAAGCTGTGGAGGGAGAGACACCTCAGTACAGGTTAGTCCATTGCTAGAAAAATGCAATGAAGAACTTGTTAAGAGCCTATCAATGTAGGAGCCAAGAGAATGACCAGAGATTAAGAGATATTTGCAAAGACCAAAAGCAATTCTTCAAGTGTGTAACTAGCCAGCAGGTCACACTGATCTTAGGGAGGGTGGGGGAGCTCAAATAAAAGCAACATTAGTTCCATATATATCCCTGTGATTGTCCCTCATCCACTAGTCTGAGCTGATAGAAAACCACTGAATGGGTAATCAAAGCAAAAAAAAGTAGTCTAGAAAATAGAAAGTTTGTCATACAAATTCACATGGATGCGTTGTTAAAAACTGGTCTTTGTAGGTCCTTTGGGAAAACTTCACTGAACAAATTAGAGATTGAAGAAAAAAACTAAATCATTATGTGTTTTCCCTTTTGGTTCATCAGAGCCTTTTCTGTTCTTTGTTTCTTGACTTGTGTTGGGTTTAAATTCTATTTTTGGCACTGATGTTTCAAGCCTAACCAACAACAATGAATCCAAAAAATTGGCCTGCTACTTCGGAGTCTAACATCCAGTAAGACCAGCTGGACAGGCACCGATTCCGGGAGGATGTCTAGAGAAATGGGTTTGTGAAGATCTGTAGACATCCTGTAATGTTCTGTATTGAGGGCAGTTCGGTCTTGCTTCATGTCCTGGCTTTCTCAAGTTTGTACAATATGCCAGGGACTGTCATTTCAGACAGTGCACATTCGCTGCTGGTCCATTTGAATAATAAAACGGGAAACTTGGCTTCACTTCCTCAAATCAAGAACACAGACCTGAAAGCAAAGATCATATGTTAGAAGGGCAAATGAGAAGCCACTTGTGTGATAGCATTAGAAAATCTGCAGCGGAATAACAATATTGTAGCATATGTATCAGGTAATAAGGAACTCTTCATTCTGTTCTAGTCTATGACAAAGGTGATTAAGATTTTTCCCAGTTGAAAACGGTAATAGATGCATATAGATATGATGAATACTTATATTTTACACAAGGTCTCTGCTGACATTAAATACACCTCAGTAAAATGATTAAAAAATACAGACACTAAGACAATTAACTCTTTAGAAATCTACCTATGAACAACTGAAGTCCTTAAAATAACCTGTGATTTGCCAATGCAGAAAAAAACTTCCCCAGCAGCATATACTTGCCTTACTTTAAAGAACTTCAGGCATTTTAAAAGTTAACCCTTGCAGTGGGGCTACCTCCGCACTACAAGGGTTAAGTGCTCATTTTGGTCTAGGGGCCAGAAGAAAGAAGATATACTCACCCGATCCTCGATCCATTGGTGGTGAGTACCTCTCTCCCCCTTTGCTCCAGCTATGGAAGTGGGCTGCCATGGACATATAATACATCACAGGTCCTTAGACTGCCGGAGCCCAGGGGAAAAGAGGCCGTGGAGACCGGTGTAGCAGCCAGGTGGGGCTGAGGATATATGTTTTTTTATTTTAACCCCTAGCCCAAAACAAGCACTTAGCCCTTGCAGTGAGTGTGGAAGCCCCACTGCAAGGGTTCATTTTTATAATGCCCACAGTTCTTCTTTAACTCCCCTGCCATTTTCTTCAGCTGTTGGCCCAAATAAATACAGACCTCTGCAAGCTTAAGTCATATTTACAATCACAGGTTACACATGGCTAAATGTCTTCCTGCCCCCACTTGACAGCACTAAGCCAATCACTAACCACCGACACCATGTTTAGAAGTAATAGGTTATTCCATTGCCCCTGTCAGATGAATAAAGTGGTGAGGAAGTGAAGGAAAAGTGGGTATGTGATGCAGGAGGTCTGGGCTTAAAAGGGAACCAGTTGCTTTGACCAAGCAGACTGACCCATGCTATTCCTCTTCCTAGCTAACCATATCTTTGCATGGATGCTGTTGTAATCTCTGTAAAGGTGCTCATACACTGCTCGATTCTCGTATGAGAATCGCGGGAAATCCCGTGATCGTACGAGAATCGAGCAGTGTGAACGAAGACGTGCAACCGTTTCTACTGTTTTGTCGCACGTCTTTTGTCTAAGGAGCACGCTAGAAAACCAGCCGAAAATCATACGATTTTCGGCTGGTTTGAACGTTGCTCGGGAGACAAATGCCGAACGGGCCGGTGTGCGCACGCGCACACTGCCCGTTCAGCATTGCGGTCATCGGAAGCCCGCCCCTCAGGGGGGCGGCTTGCGATGATCGAGAGTACGATCTGCCTGTCCAAGATGGGCAGATCGTACGTTTTTTAAATTACTTTACAACCATCGCAAGACTAAGGTCTTGCGATGGTTGTAAAGTGTATGGCCACCTTAACAGAGTCTCACTGTCTGTCACTGTGAAAATACAGTCAGAAATTGGGGAGAGCATATTTAGACAGTGAAAGGGTCCATAAAGAATCAAAATAGGCATTCCAGTGGATAAGGCTAATTGGAGGCAGATGGGTGCTGTCCATAAATGAGATAAGTCTTCTCTCAATCAGGGCTTCTGTGTGAGACCAGTGCTGCATTGGGCAATGTGTGTGAGGATACCTTACAAGTGTGTGTCCAGGTCTGTCTGGCCTACATGGACAGGCACATGAACCAGACCAACATCCATTAAATGAGAGATGGAAATTGTTTGTGAACAGACCAGTAAACCCGAGCTGAGCAAACATTAGTTTGTATGTGAGCAAACTGAAGGTCTAGTCTGCACACTGAGGAAATAATTCAAGCAGAGAGACTGGGACTAAAGCCACTTGGCCTTGATGAGGAAAGAAACAGAGCTGTCCATGACTGGGGGGGAGGAATAGTCTCTGGAGAAGGGGTTAAAAATAAAAAGGGGATTAGCTCATCTTATTTGATTGGAGGTTGAGGTCAGGTGTTCGGAAAGAGCCGCATGGGATGGGACTGTAAGGGACTGAAAACTGTTTTTTTCTGGAAAGTCGACAGAGGAAGCAGGTTGCCCTACCCATCTACCCTTGATTTTGGGGGTTTCTGGTGGTTACAATGTCCTATTTATGTCACGGCAGCTTGGTGGGTTAGGGGGTCTAAAAAATTTGAGTCAGTTACACAAATGGGGGAGCATCAGCTGGTATAGGTGCTTCCCCCAGTTGGTGTCAGTATTTGTCAGGGGGTCCTAGCCCTTGGAACTTGTGTGACAGTAATTGTCCTCGAGCTGGTTAGGGTGCGTCTGGGGACATGGGATTAGTTTTTAGGAGAGGCCTTATTTGGGCTGTTGGGCACCCAAGGATCCCTTCTTAGATCCAAGTCGTTAAGATTATTTATTTGTATATTGTTTATTACTTTGGTTACTGTTAACGTTGGTTTGGTTAATTAAAGGGCTGCTGTGGCCATTTAAATCCATGTCCCGCAGTCTGTGTGTTTTTTGGGGCTTTTAACAGAGGGACGTAATCGACGAGTCCATCAGTCAAGTAACTGAGTCTCTTTACAATGCTGTTCCATTCATCTCTACAGCAGATGCATGTTTAACAAAACAAAAATGTGACTTGTAGGATGTGAGTTTGATCGCATGGATGCTATCATCTATTGGCTATCCAGATTTCCGTGTATTTTCCTGTACTAAGATGCGTACATGTGTTTACAGTCCATGGCAAATGAAAACACTCATAGCCCTTAAAGGTGACTCACATTTTATTATTTTTGATTTTTTTGTCTGACCATCCATTGTAACAATTATAACCTGCACTCCACACAAACGCATAAAACGAGATGAAAAATAAACATTTTCTCCACTTATTTGTATGGGGTCTAATTTTGTATGCTTTCTTGTGGAGTTAAATGACTGTAGCACTAATCGTAAGTGAAATTAAAGTCAACATGTTTTTAAATTATTTCAAGTGCTGATGAAATCAGTTATGAAAGATGCTGCTTCTTAAAGTTTAAAAGTTTTATCTTACTGCAGAATCAGCTGGTCCCCTGAGCACTGGCCCTGATATCCTGTTTTAGGGTGGCTCCTTTCCCTTGCAAGGCCCTTTGGAGCTACCCATGTGTGTGCTACTAAGCTGTGTGTGTCTCCATTAGCACACAATAGAATCCTGTAATACTGAGCCTGATGAAGGGGACCATGCGTGGCCCCGAAATGTTGCTTCAATGCGACAACATGCCTCAATATAGGATGATCACTTGACCATTTTGTCTGGTGTGCTGGTGATACTTTGCTCCTCCATTAGCACACAGACACAGCAAGGCAGGCCACCCCACACCCCCTGCTCCTCTTTCCTTCCTTCTTCCTAGCTAGTAGATGTGCGGCTGCTGGAGATTGCTCTGTCCTTTGTGTTCTTGTGCTGGACAGAAAGTTCAGGGAAGTTGAAATGAGGAGTTGGCTCCAGCTGTTTGGGAACATTATGACTGTAAGTGTTTGGGCAAAAAGAAATAGTTTGCTGATATGTGTTTATTTGATCTGGATTAATGTAAAAAAAAAAAGTTTGAGGGTTTAATACTACTTTACACTTTACTCTACACTAAACAGCTGCTAAAACCATCACTGATATCCACTACCCTATACAGCTCATCCCAGGATAAAGCATTTTGGAAAGAACAATGTAATGTAATGCACACTCTAGGGCAAACCAGAGTAATATATCAAAATACTGTATATAGGAGGTGGTGTCAAATTTATGGATTTGGCGACCATGTAAGGGTCATATGGAATATATCATTGGCAATTAAAAGCATGATAAAATTACAAATACTTAATGGATATACACAGTGTAAGTGATATTTACTACCTGAAATATTTATATGATGATTGCATGATGTGGATTTCTTGCTAATGCAGCACTCCTATATAATTCTTCAAATCTTAATGAGGGCTTTACATAACCAGAACACTCCACTTTGGAAATAGTGCTGTCAGTGCCTGCCTTATGAAAAAGCTTCTGAAGACTACTTTTTTGAGATATGTCAAAAAACTGTGATCCCAGAGACATCTTTTAAAAAAAGCTATTACAGTCATATATATACCACACTTTTCAACTAGAGAGGAGAAGAAACATGGTTACAGGCTAATAGCCAGTTGCCCTGGGGTTGTAAAGTGTCCTGGATATTTTAAGTGGTTATTATAAACGTAATAATGGCAGGCACTCTCAAGGGTAAACAGAACGGCTTATTATGAATGTATGAAACGTTCAGAGTCGTTTAACAATATGTACCATTTTAATTTAAAGTGACAGTAGACTCAGAATAAAAATACATTCAAGTACCTTAACTATTAACAAAAGCGTATCTTATTTCTGTATCACTCAGCTATAGATCCTCAAATCATCTCTGAATTCATGCCAACACTGTCCTTCGTTCTGGAGGGTGCCTACTTTTGTTCCCCATGGTCCCTGTGTGTTGTAAAGTATTCACCACTCCAAGCTCACTCTCGTGATGGACTACAATCTCACATTTGGTTTACTTATTTGTATTGCGATTGTAGTCCATCACGGGAGTGAGCTTGGAGTGGTGGCCTCTTTACAACACACAGGGTCCATGGGGAACAAAAGTAGCCCCCCTCCAGAAGGAAGGACAGTGTCAGCGCCAATTTAGAGATGATTTGAGGATCTACAGCTGAGTGATACACAAAAATACATTTTGGTTAATAGTTATGATATTTGTATGTATTCTTAAGATTAAACTCCTGAGTTTAGTGTCACTTGAAAGTAGGCATATACCTAATTAATAAAATCTCATATAAGCTTTAATATGTTAAAGTAATTTCTAAACTCATTTTTTTTTTTTTTACTGTAAACCTTTAATTAATCTGTATGGAAACCCTAACGATCAGCTCATATTTGGTCCTTTTTGGTACTTTAAATATACACCTCCAAAAGTGTTTTGTTCTGTTGGATGAGTTGAAATCAAATACTTGTTGATCTCGATGGAAATCTTGTGAGTGGATAATTTCCTGTGTTCTTTGCCTGTGCTGACTTTTAGGGCTCGTTAACACCAGATGCAGTGCATTCCGGCCGATTCTAGCCAGAATGCACGGGCATTGCGGCTGGCTCACTTTTATGTGGGGCAGGAGCGGTGTGGCGGGCCATTGAAGTGAATGGCACCGTAGCTACACCCTCCGGCCGCAATGCGATCGGCCGCACGGGATTGCAAGGCACATAGTGCTTACAGCATTTTGATCGGACCAGACCAGATTGCAGGCATAATGTGCCTTGCGATCCCATGCGACTGATCACATTGTGGCCGGAGGAGTGTAGCTACGGTGCCATTAACTTCAATGGTCCACCACGCCCCCTCCTGCCCCACAAAAAAGTGAGCTGGCCACAATGCGAGGCAGTGCCTTCTGGCCAGAATCGGGCCGCAACACACTGAGCGGGCCCTTATTGATTACATTTTTCTCTAAGGATTACAGGACCACACCCCTCTGTATTTTAGACAATAGGAGAGTGGTAGGGTTCCATAGTACTCTCTTGTTTCTGTTGTTCTGATACAGAAGGGTGAGTGAGTGTTGTCATCGTAGGACTGTAAGTGCATTACTGGCAGAATCATGAGGTGAGAAAAGAAAAATAATCCAGCCACCTCATCTAAGTGCTCCTAAACGGCAAAATACATTTTTGCTTTGGAGTTTAGACGCGTTTTGAAATAATATCGGGTGATCCTGCCATGGAGGTCTTTGTACAGGCACTTCCAGTTAAAAGGGACAACACTGTGTCTCTTTCTCCCAAGTGTGCTCCTGTGATGTTACCGTATCACAGGGGTTTATGACGTAGATTTCAAGTGGCCATGCTGATGCACAATGCACAGGCATGGTTCACTGTTGTCACCATCAAAAACCCCCCCTGGGAAATACCATACAACCAACGCTGCAGTGCATGCCAGTAGATGGGAAGGCGTTGCTGCAGGAAATCAGCAGCACTAAGATGCAGCAATGGTTAAACAAGTATTTTTTGGCAATTGTTTCAATGATTCACAGTGCTTTCTACTTACCAGTTTTACTAATGGGCTCAAATTAGCTGCATCTATAGAGCCTTGTGGTCCTCTGAAAGCTGTATCTATAGAGCCTTGTGGTCCTCTGAAAGCTGTATCTATAGAGCCTTGTGGTCCTCTGAAAGCTGTATCTATAGAGCCTTGTGGTCCTCTAAAACAGTATTATGGTGGGTGGGTTTGGGCACAGTGATTGAGCAGCAAATAGTTAACATGTTATGTTTAAATGTTGGCAGGTATGGTGATAGCTGATAAAGCCACTGGCAATACATGGTGTCTGATACTGAGAAACAAATATGTACCTTTAAATAAACTTATACAAAAATGTCATACAAAAGTTGTTCTATGGAGATACTCACTGATCCGTCAGAGGCACTTGCTCCTACTTTGTCACCTCTGGCGTTCCAGCAAACTTCAAATATTCCTCCTGTTCCCCTGTAGCTGTGTACTAGAGAACCATTCTGGTAGAAAGAACAAACCAATATATCTTAAACACTGCAACTCCAGCCAACGTGTGCAAATATCAATAAGAAAAGATTGCAGCTATGTGAAAATCTGAAAAATTACCTAAAAGCTAAAGTTTGGGTTTTCTTGGAAAAGACAGTAAAATAAACTTTTATTGGCAGCTGGATTCCTTTTGTTTTGATAAGAAAGGACCTTCTCTGTAACAGCCCACAAGTTGTGGGGATACAAACCTGGTGACCGCTCAATAGTGGGACACGGCTATTTACAGTAAGACTGGTCACTCAATATTCTGCTTAAAAAGGAACTTTACCCTTATATTTAAAATGTCAACAAAGACACTTTTAGAATTGATGAGTAATCGCAATCTACAAACACATGCTTCTAGATGATTGCCGGCTTTTTATTCTTTGCATACTTTATTTCTCTTTTCCTCCCTAGTCTTCTCATGGTGGCCATTTTTACTAAGGGCAAATGAATCATCTCCCTTTACTTCCTGGAACTCTGGCACATGTGACTAGGACATGAGACCGTGCACATCACCTCGGGGGGTTGCCTTTTCCTGAACTCTCATCAGATTTTGCAGTTTACAGATGAGATTTCCCAGCAATGCACTGCTGATCTTTCGAAGATCCATCTCTTAGGCAGAGGATGCATCACTAATGCCTAAGAGTACCAGGAAGTGGAAAAACTGTAATTGAATGTAATTGCAAAATATGTTTGTTTAACTAATAGATGTAAGATGATTTCATATCAGCATGCAGAGCTCCATGCTGATGTGATTTTTAGTAAAAGGGGGTACATATTCACTTTAAAATGTACCAGTCCCCTGACAAGCTGTGAAAATATTATCAGCTGATTTGAATTTAGATTATACTAATAGCAAATTATTTCTAAAAAGTCTTAATTCCTGAATCTCTGCATTCAACTTTAAACTGAGTTTTATAAAAATGTAATAAAACATTCTCCTCAGAGAAGCTCCTGGGGAGACTGCAGCTCACTGTCACATGATTCTTTCCTAAAATGCACCATAATGCACCACCAGAGGAAACTGCCTGAGCTTCAAGCATGGTGCTTGACATATCTGGTGTATATTTTCACAGACTTTGTTCTGAGCTATTTAAAAGATAACAATAGTGACAACTATAGGGATTTGGCAAACAGGGCAACCAGCCATTCAGCAGACAGATCACTTTCACTTACAGGGTTAGTCACAAAAGGGTGAAGAGTTTGGAGAAGGCAGGAGAAGTGAACAGTTTAGGACAACATACCGGTAGCTGATTGGAAAAATTCTCCAATTCAACTCACTTTAAAGTTCAGCTATGTTGTCCTAGACTGTTCACTTCTCCTGCCTTCTCCAAACTCTTCACCCTTTTGTGAATAATCCTGTTAGTCTAGACAATGGAATGTGTCACTTGTTCAAGATACATATACATATATAAATACATTTTATCATATAATTGATTGGTAGACTTACCTGAGTGTTCCATATATGGACACATTTGTCAAAGGACCCACTAGCCAGATACTTTCCATCTGGGCTAAAGGCTACACTATAGACTGGTTCTTGATGTTTGGTTAATGTATGGATACATACACCACGCTCAACATCCCAAAGCCGGACTGTTGAATCAAAAGATGCACTATGACATGAAAAAAAAGAAGAAAAACCTTTAATTTTAGATATTATTTTATTCATGTATTTGATTTAAAAAAAAACTACAACACTACAAATTTGGCATATGTACAAACTATTTCATGTTTAAATCGGACCTGTCCCCATATCACGAACACTAAAGAATTTACATATTTTAATCAAACAATAAAAGCACTATAAAAAAAGCCCTCATTCACCTCTGTATCTATATACATTATGGAGAAACTTATTTTCAAATTGCACAACAGAGGCACTAAAATCTTAGCTTTTTTCTTTGACAGCAGATCTACAGCCTACAAGCCCTCTAATGTAAACAATCAGCAGATGTTTCTAAGCTGCTAAAAGCCAATTGATACCCGACTTTGGAATGTTTGTTGTGATACTTCAAATTACAAGCTGCTAAAGAGGTCAGTGATGGGTTGTTTAAAGCTCTTTTGTTGCTTGGTAACAATATATAAATAGTTTTATGTCCATAGTATTGGTTCATAAGACCAAATAAATAAACCAACTTCGAGAATGCTCACACTCTTACAACCCTGTCAGTTGGGAGCACGTTGTTGCTGCTTGGAATTCCCTTAATTTTGTAGAGATTTTCTCTCCCTTTCTGTTATGTCTCTGGGACAGGAAGTAAAAGTAAATAATCCCAATGGGGAACAAACAACAAAAAATAAACTGACGGTTCTAACTTTCCCTCCTCTATTTAAAATGAAAAAAAAAGTCTGGCTGTACATACACTTGAATCCACTTCAGTTTTCTATATTGCTATTCATGCTGTTGAAGAGATATCAGCGCTTCCTGGGTCTGCGCACCTGCTGTGCATGTCATGAGGGGATCACACTGCTGGATTTTAAATTTGTTTTATGTTAGGGATGCACAGATACTAGTTCAGATACCAGTTCAGATACCACTGCCAATACTTGACATTTTCACGAGAACTACCAGGGTTGCAGCGGTTGCAGCTGCAACTGGCTCTGGCTCTCCAACACTGTCCTGAAATAATTAATCTGTATTGTTTTAGAAAAACTGTCACATGACACTAAACAAAAATGTATCAGTAATTGGTATCTGTGAGGACAAGTATCAGTACTTGTAATTGGCCTGGAAAAAATGGTATTGGTGCATCCCTATTTTATGTTATGCAGAATGCAGCAGAAGGTTGAAAAGGTGGGCAGGAACGCTCAAAACTCCTTGGTGGACAACGAGGCTCTATCTGTAACTAATATATCACTTTCAGGTACATCAGCCTTTTCAGTTCTGATCAGATCAAAGTCCTATCTATAATGTAATTGTGCTGGGTTTTTTTCCTCACCAGTTTAAACATATATGAATGACTGTAGATTACACCTGGGGCAGCTTCATCAATTAGTCAAACTTTGTGTCTGTGAAGGTTCTCACTTCTCCAGGTCATGGCATAGATAGTAGTCACATTCAACTAGACTTGTTTTGTAATGTTTAAGATGTTTGCAGTTTATCCAAGCCACTTCTTTAGTTCTAATGAATGTCAGGATAAGCTGTTAAACATCTATAACATTACAGAACAAGTCCACTTGAATGTAACTAACTACTACTAGCTAGGTGGAACCTTAAAAATCATCATTGCATATTAAACACAGATAACATCAATTTCCTCTCTACTTTAACAGTTCTGACCACAATAATAACTGTCAAAAAACAACTATAAATTTAAAGTAAGTCCTTATTTTGTTTGTACCACCTAAATGTAATGTTCTACATATAAATCACCTTGCAAGCATTATGTTTGCATTTGGGTTGCTGGTACCAGGGCCTGTCGGACTCCATTTGATTGTGTATATTTCTTTGTTGTGGGCCTGCAGGTCATGTACACACATGTCTTGTTTCATGCTCCATATCTACAGCAAATTATAAATAACAAAATAACATTTAGAATAGGTTTCACAAATAAATGTAATTGACACACATACCACTAAAGCTTTTACAGATCATCTCCCTTTCTCAAGTTGTTCTCCCTCATAATGCTGCTATACACATGCATCTGATAGGAAAAAGTTATTAGCAATCTATGCTGGCATGAGAAGAGAGTTGCCTCTATATCTGATCAAGACTTCTTGGCATATTGTCTTACTTAGGGCTTGTGTCAATGAGCAAATGCAGCTTGCTTTTCGGTGCATTCTTCGTGCAATTGACATCAGTTTGAGACACTTCTGATATTACTGAGTTAATCTGACCTCCTTCAAGGCTGCATCAACCTGCTTATAGCAGGTTGACTTGTATGGGCATAGAGGAAGGTCTGATGTGAGCAAATGCCTGGCTACACAACCCTTTATAGTTATGGAAAGACAGCTTCAGAGAAGAGAAGAATCTATGGTACCCAAAAATCAGAAAGTCCAAGAGTGGGTAGACAGAATTGGACAGCAAGTTGAAAACAATATCTAAGAAAATGCCTAGTATAGTTACTATTTGGCTCTATTTCTTTCTCTATGACATGTATAATGGTCCTTAGCTCCAGAGACTGACTGAAGGTATGTTCAAAATGCTAATTACCAACCACCCTTTTATAAAAAAAACCCCAACAATGTATGAATATGTTATTAGATGCTATAGAAGTGACATCTAAGATCACAAGGGGCTATACCTGTGTTGGCTATTAAACCATAGTTTCTAAATTGGTTACATTTGTTAACATTTTTAAGGCTTGAGAAAAGATAGTGTGCCATTCTCTGAAAAAGGGTATTTTAGAAAATTTCCAATACTTGGGGTTTAATCTGTTTGCGGTAATGAGAATGACAATAATTATTTGCAACTCTTTTTTGTCAAAGAACAATATAAGAAGGAACATGTATACTTGGTATGAAAATGTTGCCCTATTATCTCAGATATCACATAGGGGGTTATTCACAAAGCTGCCGAGGGCAGCCTTGTGAATAACCGACCCGAAGTGAGCCGAATTCAGCATGTTCAGCCGTCCCAAAGTGCAGAAGGAGTACGACTCAGCCGATCCAACATCTGGATCGGCTGAGCCGAACCTCCGGCAGGCTACTCGCTGCTGTTTGGCCTATTCTCATAGATGCCGAACAGCAGTGAGTGAATAGCCGTATGCCGCCGGATGGCATTCGGCTCAGCTATTCTGCTCGGGACCTCTGTGGTCCCGAGCAGAATAGAAAAACAGTTAAAAAAGTAGAAATAAAAAAAAACAAAAAACGATTAGCATAGTCGGAGGTGATATGAAAGCCGACTCTGCTGAGTTCTCATGGTACTGACAGATCAGCATCCCCTGGTTACCAGGTAACCAGGGAACGCTGAACTGTCAGTACCATGAGAGCTCAGCAGAGTCGACTTTCATATCACCTCTGGCTCTGCAACTGTTTTTTTTCTTTCTGACTTATGGCGGCCGGCGGCTCCGATGTCAGAAGAAAAAAAACCCAACAGAGCAGCGAAAGGTTTTCTCTGCTCAATCGAGCAGAATAAACCTTTCCGGGAGAAAGTGTTTCTCTCCCAGGCGGCCGGGAGCCGCAATCTAATAGCAGGAGACTCCCGGAGCATCAGGGAGAGTAATGACAGATCAGCATCCCGATTACCTGGTAGCCAGGGGATGCTGATCTGTCTCTGCAAGTGGCTGGAGCCAGCCGTGAGATGACGGCTGGCTCCGCCCAGCTGTCAGTAGCAGGCTGGCCAATGGCTGGCCATTCGGCCAGCTTCGCCTTTCACCAAAGGCATATGCCTTCGGCTCGACTGAGCTGCTCGGCCGACTGCGGGAGCTGTACCGGCTATAGTGAATAGCCCGTGCAGCAGCCCTTCGGTTCTACTGAACTGAAGAGGTCCTGGGGCCGAAGCTAGCCGAAGGATAACCCGAAGCTACGGCTAGATCCTTCGGCAGCTTTGTGAATAGACTCCATAATAATCTGTGTCCATACCAAACAATTTAGAACATAAAAACCAAGTAAGAAAATAGGTTCCTTTTCATACATAACAACTTTATAAGATAAGAAAGAGGGCAAACTTTGAGGACAATGTATGTAGGCAAAGGACACTCTTCCTAGTTAAGCAGTCAACAAATAATACACAAAATTACCAAAGGCAATAATATAAAGGTTCTATTAAAAGTTGAGTGTAACATAACTCTTTTAGTAGTTTATAGTATATTTTTTATAGAGGTCTTTAAATCAGAGCAAAAAGAGAAACATAAGGAGGCAAGTGGGACAGAGAAATTCTGAATCCAAAAGATGGGCAGTTCCTTCAGAATGAGGGAGTTATAGAGTAATGTAAGGTCCTACAAACACTGACTTCTGGCTGGTTCTCTTAAAGTTTTCCCATGAAAATATAATGAATCTCATAAAGAATGTAGAATTGAATGGTCAAAAAATTGATTTTTCTAGCAGGCAGGGCTACAAATTACCGCTCAGAATTATGTAAAATTGGGAAACTGCTTGGAGATGGGATCTCTCTGTGTTTAAACATGGTAGAGCCACAAACAGTCTTAATTTAAATGATTCTATTCACTCCAATTGTTAGGCTACTTACCTTTAGGGTCATATCATCTGAACATGATGCTAGCAGCATTCCTGATGGGTCCCATTTAATTGCATTTACTTCATTCTAAAAGAAAACATTGTGTTATAAGAAGATGGGAATACAGCTGACATCCAGCGGAGGGCAATCATGCATCATTGTAGAAGAGGTTATCCTCTGTATACAACACTTTTCATAAAGCTCATTTCTAAACTAATGCTCTCATTTGCTAGACAACAATTAACACAAATTATTGCTATGGAATTGCTTCATAAAAAAAATACTTTGTTGCCTTTTTCCAACATAATCTACGTTTTATCTATTTGTGGCTCCAAGTAAACATAATGACACACAAATTAAGACATCTGTCACGAGGTACTGTACTGCATTCGATCTGAATTATAAAGTCCCAGTTAACTAAATGATGGTGCCATAGTGAGATCAACACAATAGGAATACCAGCTGGATGAAATGAAATATTATTATAACATGACTTCTCCTTACTTTTTTCAAGTGGTTCACACAACCACTGCTTTTTG